GTTCATCTGACTTCAAAGAATAAAATCACGTATGCTTTTTGCCTTACGTGGAATAGATCACGAAATAATTAATTTTTTCCATTTACTAATTTCACGCGGTTCTGCATCACGTCAAACAAATTACGTATATTTTTTTATTGAACAAACGTTCATTGCGTTATTTTTATGTACCATTATAATCTCCAACAATTCCCAAAAAAAATTTTTTAGACGTTATGCAGAGATGAGTGAAAATAGTCAATGGAAAAAACCCAATGGATGGGATTTGAATTAAATTTGTGTAATCGATGCGTCTCCACATAACTTGATTCTCTTTGGATTTTGAGCGAAATCGTCTCAGTGGTTGTTGCGTTTTTTAAATAAAACTTTCGAATTTTGCAATTGAAAAAAAGGGAAAGTTGGAAAATTTTAGAGTAGGTTAACTTTGAAGTTGGAAAATTTTGAAGTGGGTCAACTATGAAGTTGCAAATTTTTAAGTGGCTCAGCTGCGGAATTGAGGGAATATTGAAATGGGTCAATAAAGTGGGTTTAATTAACTTGATTGAAGTTTGAATTAACTTAAATTGCAAATGCGTTCTTTGCAAAATCACCCTAAGGGTAATGCCACAATGGATGCAACGTTAAACATGAAATAATTATTCAACTGTTTACCGAATATTTCTGACAATGACTAGCGTTGCGTATAGCGTGCACTGCATTCACTGTGGCATGACCCCAGCGTTTATTAAATCTCCGAAGGAACTTTCCTTCTATGGGTATTTCCCCGGAGAAATGTGAGAAAAAGATTGAATAAATACATGATAAAAAAAAGTAATGAAAGAAAAAACAACTGGTCGGGAAGTTATTGGTTCGACCCGTAATGGGTCACACCCAATCCCACCAACCCCTACCGGTCATACCCCAAAGAGGGCCAAGCGCGCGACCGGGCCTGATTTTCCAAAATCTAATCATAGAGTAAAATTACACATGATGAATCAATTAAATTAGAATTTTGACAGATATCTCTAAATCCAGACGTGACATTCCTCATGCCATAAGCACGTTCCTCCTAATTCTCACTCCACACTCCAAAGAAACCATCACTGTTAGGCCATCACTGTTAGACCCTAGAAATCTCCAGAAACACCATCTCAAATTTAAATAAATAAAAACAAATTAACTCAATTCGCATTTCGTCAAATATTTTCAAATGGAGAGTGGTGAATCCTTCCTTCATAAGAAATTCCCTCGTAATTCTCTGAGATTCTTCTGAGATATTCCCCAAAGCCTAATCATAGAGTAAAACTACACAGAATAAATCAACTCAATTCGAATCTCGAAGAAGATTCCCTCCCTCCTTCTATGAAGATTTTTTTTCTAATTCTCATTCCACTTTCCAAGAAGTCCCCAAAAATCCTGTCCCCCTCAGACCCCCGAACCCCACCAAACCCAATCTCTCCCAACAAAATATTCCACTTCTCTCACTCTATTCTCCCAATAATATAATAATAGCTTTTCAAAAATTCCATCATTTCTTTTGAATTTTGAGATATTCCTCAAAGTCTAATAATAATCGTAGAGTAAAATTATACCGAATAAATTAATTCAACTCGAATTTCATAAAATATCTCTAAATCCAGAGTGACCAATCCTCCTTCCATAAGGACTTTTCTCCTATTTCTCAGTCCCCTCTCCAAGAAATCCCCAAAAATCTTATCATCAAATTTAAACTCCCAAAAACCTTCCAAAATCCTATCTCTCCGACCTCCAAATCCCCTCCCAAAACGAAAATATTCCCCTTCTTCTCTCACTTCTCTACTCTACTATACCAATAACATAATACCTCCTCAAAAATTCCACCATTTTTTTGAGATTCCCAGATATTCCTCAAAGATTAAACTCGGAGTAAAATTACACAGCAAGTCAGTCAGCTCGAATTTCTTCGAATATCTCTAAATCCAAAGTGACTAATCATTCTTCCATAAAGACTTTCCTCCTAATTCTCAATGCCCTCTCCAAGAATCACAAAAACCTCCCAAAACCCTATCTCTACCAACTCCAAATCACATCCCAAAACCACAATCCCACTTTTCTCTCACTCTACTCCACCAATAATATAATAACATCACCTCAAGAATTCCACCATCTCCTTTAGAATTCCAAGATATTTCTAAAGGCCTAATCAAGGATTAAATTGCACAGAAATGAATTAATCTCTAATTTCGTCAAAGGTCTTCAAATTCAAAGAGACCAATCCCTTTCCTTTGCCTCCTAACTCTAACTCCACTTTCCAAGAAATCCCCAAAAATCCTGTCGTTCCCCTCAAACTCAAAATATTCCACTTCTGTTACTCTACTCTCCACAAATATAGTAACTTCACAAAAACTCCACCATTTCCTTCAAATTCCGAGATATTCCGCAGTCTAATAATAATCTTGGAGTAAAATTATTTATAGAATAACAATAAATTATAGATTAAAATTAATCAATCCTCCTTCCATAAGGACTGTTCTCCTAATTCCCACTCCACTCCAAGGAATTCCCAAAAATCGCGTCATCCCCCTCAGACCCCAAACCCAATCTCTCACAACTCCAAATCACCTCCAGAAACCAAAATATTCCACTTCTTCTCTCGCTTTACTCTACTCCAATAATATAATAATACCTCCTCAAAAATTCCACCATCTCTCTGAGAACTCGAGATATTCCTCAAAGTAATTAAACTCAAATTTCGTCAAAGATCTTGAAATCCAAAGTGAACAATCCCCTTCCACAAGGACTTTCCTCCTAATTCTCAATCCCCTCTCCAAGAACCCCAAATGACATTCCAAAATCACAATAAATGCCACTTTTTCTCTCACTCTACTCCACCAATAATATAATAGCATCACCTCAAGAATTCCTAAACATAGACTTTAGTCTGTTTGTTGGGGATCAGGGATCCCCATCAATATTAAATTTCTATAATATTACAAGGATTTGACCCTTACATTATTGAAGGTTTAAAATGTGTTGATTCAATTTTTCAAATCATATAATATTAATAATTTGATTTTTTACGAATAATAATGATGATATATTTCAAATTTGTTAATATGAAACTGTAAATTCACTACTAAGTGAATAATTCATATTTCTTGAAAAGGGATTTTCGATTACACAAGTAATTGTCAATCTTCCTACCTCAAATTATTGATTGATAAAATAGTTGAAAATTTGAATATTTGAATTGATGATACTTGAGTACTCAAAAAATTTCAATAGAGATGTTATTTAATTAAGGGCTACAAAAGTAACCGTAATAAAATATTACAAATTTGGCTATCCCTGATTAAAATTACCCAGAAATTAATTAAGGATGTTTAGCCAGTGGCGGTAAATTGTCGGTAAATGTGTTTTTTTTTCATAGTCAAGGAAAATTCTGTAATTTTTTCGGCTGACAGCAGAACATATAAAACTAACTTTTCTAACGTTGAAAAAAAATTAATCGCAACAGTCTCGGCAGAAATAAATAAACTATTTTTTCCTTACACACGGGCTCTTATGAAATTTATATTCAAATTGATAATTCATCTACTAGAAGACTCTAAAAATAGAAGGTAATGTGTAAAATCATACTGAATCCAATGGCCAGAGAAAAATCTGGGGTACCCGGGCAAAAAGAGCAAATATTTGGATGATTCTATCCCAAATAAGCGCATGTTAGCGCCTGCATTTGGTGCATTTTGTCTATTTCATTTCTAAATAATGAACATGGCTTGGTGGGTTGAAATTTGTATCAAAGTGAAGGGAATATCTTCATCTCTCAGTTTAAAAAAAATTAAATTTTTGTTAAGTATTTGCGACTTTGGATAAACATCCTTAAGAAGTAACAAAATGTCGTCAATTTTTCANATGGCCAGAGAAAAATCTGGGGTACCCGGGCAAAAAGAGCAAATATTTGGATGATTCTATCCCAAATAAGCGCATGTTAGCGCCTGCATTTGGTGCATTTTGTCTATTTCATTTCTAAATAATGAACATGGCTTGGTGGGTTGAAATTTGTATCAAAGTGAAGGGAATATCTTCATCTCTCAGTTTAAAAAAAATTAAATTTTTGTTAAGTATTTGCGACTTTGGATAAACATCCTTAAGAAGTAACAAAATGCCGTCAATTTTTCAAATTTTTGAACAAATTTCCTGCTAAAAGTTATCGATATTTTTAAAAATCGAAGCACATTAATCTCCAGGAGGTGATGATGAAGATCAATATGTTTTGGGTTGAGAAAATATTAATAATTTTGAGTAGGGAATTTGTTTAAAAATTTCGAGACAATGATGGCCTTCTGTTAGCCCTTAACCCTAGTTGGTCACCATATGAGAACTTGCGATTGGTCACCTCCGCAGGGAATCGCCGCCGTGTCATTAGGCTCGAGCGTTGCCGCATTCACTCTATACTGCCCGGGCGCGTTTAGCGAGACTTCGGCAACGTCGCACAACGGGCAATTTCATTTAACATGGGAAAAAATTGCCCGTCTGTTAGAAATAATTTTTTTTCTTCAGGAATTGTGGATATAAATAATTTTAAAAAATATTATAATTTTCTAGACACTTGAATTGACGCATTCCAATTTTTAGGATTTTTCCGCTCAGCCAGTCAATGGTAAGAAAAAAAAAATCGACCTTCTGCGGCGTTTTCCTCTTATGGTGACCAACTAGGGTTAAACTCGAATTTCGTGAAAGATCTCCAACTCCAAAGTGACCAATCCCCCTCCATACGAACTTTCCTCCTATTCTCACTCCACTCTCACTCAAGAAACCCCAAAAATCCCGTCATCCCCTCAACCCTATCGCTCCCAATTCCAACCACCCCCAACCCCAAAAACCCAAAAACCCCCATCACACCTGGCTCCCCGTCCCCCCCAGCTCGACCGATCGCTGTCGTCCCTCCAGCCAACATGCGGGCAGACACGCAACCCAGCAATGCGCATATTGCTCCAAAACCCATCGCCCGAGCCCCCCCCAAAAACCCCACAACGTACCTTTCACTCCTCGACCAGTGTCTCGTCGTTTATTTCAGCCCAAAAAATTTATTTCCAAGATGAAAAACTTTTACTCCTCCCCGCCCCACGGTATTCAGTTACAGGCGATATATTTGCGTCATGTTCTTGTTTCTCGTGAGCCGTGAGGTATCGGGCCACTGTGATTTCAGTTCCTCGCTTGATCCGACGTGGCCTCTTTTCTCGTTATTTTTTCCTCCTTGTCTCTTTTTTTCCTCTTTATCCACCGACTGAACGTCCGGCCCCGCTTTCCGCCTGGTACCTCTCAACAATACCCAGCCATCTTGCCTCTCTCAATAGCCTCTGTGCCCCCCTCTCTCCTCTCGTTAACCAGAGAGAGACGGATGCCTACACCAAATGTGTACTGATACACAGGCTAATGCTTCATTAAACAGGGTAAAAAAAATTTATCGTCTACGTCTGCGGTACGTGTTACTCCTCGGTACCATACGCAGCCGTGACAAACAGAATTGAAGGATTGGAGCGGTGACACTGCCAGTAGGTGCCCCCCGATCACAAAATCCAAGAGTAAACGAGGAAAAACGAGGGGAAAATAATAAAACAGCGGAAAAACCGCACGTTCTTATTTCACTTGTGTTCTCGCCACTTTTCAGCCACCGCCTGCACCCCGAGGACGCGCATTTCACGGGTCCCGAGTCACCACAAATAACTGTCGAAAATACGAGCACTCGTGAATTGTTACTCTCGACAATCGCCACTTGTTCGAGGCACTAGAACTGAGGGCAATTCTTTTCCCCTGCGCGACGACGAACGGTCAAGCATTCATTGCTTTTTCAGGGTATCACCCATCACGGATCGAGGGTTTTTGCATTCGGTACTCGAGAGTTGCCCTCCTGCCGACGACTGTGGCGTGTCGGGCACTACGGCGGTGCGTCGGCTCGATTCGGCGGGGGAATCGGGTAACCTCGTCTGTTTATCCTCACTTTCTGCGCAGGGGCGGACGTGACAACTCGAAGGCCAGTGATTCTTCAACTCGATTTGTGACATTTAGTATTTTATAAAAAGTATAATGGAAATTGTATTGTCTGGTTGCTCTATGTCGAGCATTTAATTATTCAGATGTTACACGGAGAAAATTATTTGGTGAATTTCAACAACTAGTTGAGTCGAATTTAAGTCGAATTTGAGGGAGATGATGAAATTTTTGCAATTACCTTTTTTGTAGCCTTTAATTCCCTCTACAAAAAAGGTTTTAACCAAAATTTCGCCGTCTCCCTTAGATTCCGGGATATTCATTGAAAACTGATCAGTACTCAAAATGGACTTGGACCGTTTTGCCGCTTCGCTCCTGAATTTTACTTAATTAGTGATTAAATTTCACTGACTGTTGATGAATAGGAAACTCGCATGGATTTTTTGCAATTTTCTAATCTCAAGTTTGAGACCTGAATAATTTATTTTACATTCAGAACGTTTGAAATATTGCTCATTAGTTAATAATTAATTGTTAAAAATTCAAGATTTCACACGCTTTGAAATCGCTGATGACGCCACACAGACGGTCGAGCGCTGGACCAATCACAGAACGGCTCGAGCCGAAATAACCCAATCTTGAGCTGTCCCTCGGCCAATGGAGGACAACTCCCCACTCTCTTTTTTTTCGACCAATGAAGCGTTACCTGACCGTCTTTGTGACGTCATGACCGAAAAATTTGCCTCGAAAACGACTGATTTTCAATTAATTATCATGAGACATCTCGGCAATATTTCTCCGTAATTTTCGCCGTCTAGCTATCCATATGTTACGAGGAATGTGTGAATAGGGGAATTAGAAAAACTGCGCTTTGTGTAAGTTCTCTATTTCAACATCTAGTTGAAATTCACCAAATAATTTTCTCCATGTAGGTTTACGTTTCAGAGCTGAATTTGATGAGGAATCATTGAATATTTGGGGTTTTCGATGACTTTTTAGGGGCGAAATTTGAATTTTGAGGGGGGATTTTGGAGGTTTTTGGAAAGGGTTCTATGGGGAAGGGTTTGTTTAGGGGTTTCTCGATTTTTTTGGCATTGCGGGGGAGGGGGTTATGCTGTTGCTGAAGAAATTTTAAGTAGCATACGGTGGATTAATCGTAGCCTAAATTGGCGGAGAGCACCGGGGAGATGTGAGAGGTGATACGGCATTGCAGAGTACCGTGCTTCGTACGCAACGTCACGGGCCAAGTCAGCGTTCCCCTGCACCCACGCACCCCTCGGACATGTAGGACGTCTGGTGGGAGTTCAGGGGGTACTCCCACTCCGGGTTATTTAAACTCGTTCGGGGTTCCCCACTTAGGAAATCTGTGGGCGCTCGGAAAGACGATCTACGTTGTCGGAGAAAATTGAAATTTCAGGGAGAATTTAGGTGGAATTTTAAAGAGAGGGATATTGAATTCGATGGAAATCATAAAATTTCAAATTTCAGTTGAAATTCCGTGGGATTCGGAGGTCTTGAGCAGCTGGGAGACGAGAATTCCTCATCTTATTTGAATTTTCAATCAAAAATATTTCATGAATATTCAGTACCAAATTCCGGTTCATTTTATATTTAAGGTTTATTCCAAGGCAATCGGACCCAATTCACGGAGAGAAATATTCAATGAAAATTACGTATCTTTTCCGTAATTCCGGAGCGAAATGTAGTTGTAGGAAACTTTACGGAACTGTCACGGAATTTTTCCAGAGCGTTCCGTAATTTTTATCTGAATCTCCGGTGAAAAATTGCGATACCGTCACTTAAATTTTCTGAGTCGAATCCGTAATCGGTGAGCGAATTGTGAGTTCCGTAATTCTTACTGAACATTTCTCTCCGTGTAGTTAGTCCCTATGGATTTCCGGACAAAATTCCAAATAACTTAATCTATTTCATTCTAAGTTATCGAGTTTTCCTATTCTCATGTGTTGTGGATGCAGGCAACAATAATTGTTTGAATCAAATAAGAAATTATTTGGTAATCAATTTTTTGAATCAAAAAAGGAATGCTTCCGCGAAATTTTCATTTTTTAGAATTGAATATCGCAGAAACTATGTAGTACAAAATTTTACAAAAAATTCACCGTATTCAATTTATGAATCTATCACGAATTCATTTTTTAAGAACATCTTAAAAACCGTTTTCTCATAAGCTTGAAAAATCGAGCTCGGGGGTGCCCGTAACACCCGTTTGGCCAGTGCCTTGTGTGTTAGAAGCCCCCATTTCATTATTTATTATCTCCTAAACTGTGTAGTACAGCTAGTTAGCTTTTTTTTCACCAGCTGCAGAATATTATAAATATTATTCATGAAAAACATGAGGACAATATTAAGAAAAACGTGTTTTCTAGAGATACACTTTAAGGGAATAGTTACCTGAATTTTCGTGGTTTTTATCAATTTTTATGGGACAGTTGAACTGAAGTTTTTAGTTCCCAGCGATTTTTTCATCAAATTTTGAATTCTCAATGACAAACTTCTTTTAAATCCCAGTGGAACTATGACTTCGCAAAAATTTCCAAAAAGTGTACTGAGAATTTAAGCCAAAAAAATGTCTACCACTTCTGAAATCGTTGGAAAAATTGAAATTTCATCGGGAATTTAGTTGGAATTTTCAGACGAGTGATATTGAATTCGATTCAATTGTTTGTAATTTTTAAAGATCTTTTAATTGAAGAACAACCCCCTAGGGGAGAGTAACTTTAATCTTATGGTAATTAGCGTACATCGACATCTTGATGATGTTGAATCAGATGGTGAATGTCGTGGATTTCCATATATACGCGGCTCATGCCGTGAGGGTATTTAAAAATCGGTGACGATATTGTTGCAGAATGTTTAACATTTCAATGTATATGCACAGGGGACTATTTATTGACACAGTTATTGTTGTTGTAAGTTTTTACGATGATTTTTTGATGGAAAACAACTATTGGGAGGAGTCCAACTTCCGACACAAAATGAGATTGTTACGAATTTTTTGAGGGACTAGACAAGGGTTACTAGGGTTACAAGGGACTCTAATACTGGGGTGTGATAGTTTTTTCTCTGAAGTCTTCACGAAAAATTGTTTTTGATGTTCAGTAATGCGATTGTTGATGAGTATTCAAAGATCTAGGGGGTATGCTTATACCGAAGTACATTGGACTTTGGACCGGATAACCATTAGCGTAAGAATTTTGGCATAATTCAAGGGCGCAAAGTTCACGATTGAAGTCCGTTTGTGTTCTTTTTTATCGAAACTCAAATGGTAACGGAGTTCCTGAGGTATTTGTTACCTTGTCGACGAGCGATACATAATTAAGTGCAAGGGAAAATGATCAGGGCTAGAATTCTGTGCGTTTAGGGAACCCTAAAAACTTTAAATTTCAACCAACCAGAGCCATGCTTCCCGATTGGTAATGCAGGAATTCTAGATGCGTAGCTCTGATTCATTGAAATTTAAGGTTTTTAGGGTACCCGAAACGCGCAGAATTTCAGCCCAGATTCAGATCCGGTCCACCTGACATTAATTTTAAGAAGTTTGTCGGATAATTTAATTAACTATTATTATACTATTCAAATTAAGTTTCATCAACCATTATCAATAATTATTTTCAATCTTTAAAAAGGATCATTATACTATAATTAAAATAAATTAAATTAAATTAATTTAATTTAATGAATTTAATTCAATTATTCAATTTAATTAACACCCAGCCCTTCTCAAATGTACAGAAGGGAGGGATGATGATGCCGTAAATACATATTATAGGAGTATCAAACATAGACGCAAATAGTCTTGAGAAAAAAAAATCACCGAATGTCTATTTATTTATTAGAGTTATTGCTATTATCATTTTTATTATTCATTAATGAAATAAATAAAAATTTAATTGAACATATTTCATCTCTGAGAATACACACGGATATCCGCGATATCAGGAATAATCGTAAATTCAACGAATACCCCGATACAAATCATATAGGCAATGTACAGTTTACTCAATAGTAATAGCGCGATAACGTAGTGGTTAGGGCATAGGATTAACAATCATAGGGTCCCCGGTTCGATCCCCAGCATCGGTAAAAAAATAATAAGCTTTTTCAGAGGTAATAACAGTAGAGATTCATTAANATGTGTATAAGAGACAGGGGCATAGGATTAACAATCATAGGGTCCCCGGTTCGATCCCCAGCATCGGTAAAAAAATAATAAGCTTTTTCAGAGGTAATAACAGTAGAGATTCATTAAGAGAGGCGGCCTACGGTGAAAGAATTGAATTATCTTTTGTTGTGAATTAATTATCATTGATAATTGTTATTGATACTGACAGAGAAGTCATCCGGTTTTCATACAGTTGACTCGATCAAGTTCGGATCCATTCGTCTTGATCAAATCCGGATTGGTCAGAGGCGTAACATGTCTGATCAGGACCGGATCCGTCAACTTGATCAATACCTGATCAGTGGTCAGGTCTAACCTGATCCAAACTTGATCAAGACCTGACCGGAATTTGCACTCGGGACGTTGTCAAACAAGTCTTGTTTGGGCCAATAAAATCGCTAGATGAAAATTGTCAAAAAAGAATTTGTTTGGTTCGAATTTGAAAGTCTCAAACATGAATAATTGTTCTGCTTTCGACAGCAACGAAATATTTGGCTCAAGAGGCGGATAAGTCACACCAGACGGTGCCTTTTTAGGATGAAAATATCTCATACAGTGGAAAATTTATCAACAAATATTTCATGCGCAAGTTAAGTGCAAGATTGCTATCATATCATTATTATTGTTTCAGTTAAGGGTTCATTTCTTGTTTGTGATTATTGGACAGCCGAAACGAAAAACTACTATCCCTTGTTTCGCATAAAACAAAGATTTTTCGGGAGCAAAATACGTATGGGAGTATCGAATGACGAAGGAGCAGTGATAGGCATATCAATCAATCATAATTACCGTTAAATTGTGAAGAAGTCAATCTTTAACATAAATTAAAAAATTTTAAATATTAAAGTAACCATTCGTAACAATTCGTACATTTAAATTGCGAAATATTCTATCAACCAATAATTTAGGTAGGAAGATTGACGATTATTTGGATAATCGAAAATCAAGTACCTAAATTTAGAATTAGCTTGTTAACTAAAAAATTACATTTCAGTATTATCAAATATTTTATTCACCATCAATCGAAAAATTTAGCTAATAAATTCTACAATACTATAAAATTGTTAAACATAGTTAAACTTTGAATAATATAAGAAGATAATCCCTTTTTAATATTGTTAAAATCTAATATTATTGCCCATCCCTGCGAAGGAGTAGTGTTAGAAATTACATTTGTTGCGTGTACAGAGAATGCAATTTTTTTTCAACTACCAAATGTATTTTTGCGACAAAAAATTTTCATTTCGGCGTACTGCATATTTGGCACAAAAAAATCCCTTTTTGATAATTGTCAAAAGACTTTTTTCTTGGCACAAGTAAGACTTGTTTGAGAACTTTGTCGTTTTTCTCTCAGTGTTGAGTTGCGTAGCGGCTTACACAAAAAGATAGGCACGTGGTTACTTGCTCGCTTTTGCAATTCATACGCAATATATCGACTAGATTAATACCGATGGCTACCTCTCAATTCATAAAAGAAGGAGAGAAAAAATCTATTTTAGAATGCGGATTTATTGTGAAAACAATACGTGCGCAATTGACGATTCCTGTTGTACTATCGAAGGAGCTCAATTTATCCGATATTCTCAAGGTTAAATTCGAGAAGTGACGTCATACTTACGTCACACAGCGCAATAGCCAATGGGAGAACGCGCCGAGGGGATTTAGACCCTGGTACTCCACCGAGTCGATCCAGTCTGTCAAGAGTCTGGCGCCCATCAAGATCATTAGGTCTTTGACTTTTTTTGCAATAAAAAAAAAACGTTTCCTTCAACTATTGTTAATCGCTCAATATGAAGTACATTCTCGTCACTGGGGGGGTGATCAGTGGGGTCGGAAAAGGTGTTATCGCCAGTTCGTTCGGTACAATTTTGAAAAATTGTGGAATACACGTTACTTCAATTAAAATTGATCCGTACATAAATATAGACGCTGGCACGTTCTCACCTTATGAGCATGGTAAGACGAATTTTGAGAATTATTTCGATGATGAATTTTCCGGTGTCGTTTTGGGGCGGGATTCTGCGCGATTGTCATTCAATATTTCGTTGGGGAAAGTGGGAAAATTTGGGCGACCACGCGGCGTGCTCGGGGCCATTTTGTGCATTACCCATGCGCGCGTTTTTTCGGTCACGTGGGGTTTGCGAATTTACGGGAATTCGAGCGGGATGGTTGATGGGATTTTTAAATTTTGGGGTATTTAAAACGGAGGGAATGTTAAGCGGATGAAAAAATTTAACCGAAAAGTTTAGAGAGAAATTTCTCCGATAACTTTCAGCAGATCTCCGTTGGAACTCTGACCGTTCTATGATTTTTTTGTGGTTGATTTTTTATTAAAAAATTAAATTTGAAATTAAGAAAACTTCGTAGTTAGAAAGACATCCATAGATGCCGATTTTTTTATATGCCTTATTCCACTGTGATTTTTTTCTGTTAGAATACTTGGGCATGAATTTTTTAGTTTTCTTGCATCCTGTAATGAGAAACAAAATACAGCGGAAATTTTTTTTTTTAATTCATGCGTCAGCATGTGTGTAGAAAAGAATGTGGGTATCTGAAGAAAATAATTCATGCGCGCATTTTTTCAATCACGTGGGGCTTTTGAATGTATTGGAATTCGAGCGGGATGTTTGATGGGATTTTTAAATTTTGCGGTATTTAAAAAGGAATGAATGCTATGTTTATGAAAATAATTGAAGCGAAAAGTCTAGAGAGAGATTTCTCTGAAAATTTTCATTGAAACTCTGAGAATTCTATGTAAAATTATTTTTTTGCGCCGATTTTTATTGGAAATTATGCCAATTTATTCAAAACATAGAATTGCTTCAATCAAACGTTCAATTCTTCTATCAATTTCAATTATAGGGAAATATTCTTGTTGATAAAGGTGAAATTCATCTCGATCATCCCGACGAATCCCATCAAATAACAATACTCACTAAATTAACTAATTTTGATTGAATTTATCGGTTCCCACCTAAACAAAAATTCCGAAAAAATAATTCCCAAAAAAATTATTTCATCGCAAGAACTGATTCCCTTGAATATTCTCAACTGCTTATTAACAATACAATTTCTCAATCAATCTAAATGATTAAATGAGTCATTAGATCGTGTATTCTTATTCATAATCATTAGAATAACATTGTAACTGTAAAATAGTTTGAATCAAACGCTTAATCCCTTTACCAATTTCCATTTCAGGTGAAGTTTACGTTCTTGATGACGGAGGTGAAGTTGATCTCGACCTCGGTAACTACGAGCGTTTTCTTGACGTGACACTACACAGAGATAACAATATCACAACTGGAAAGATCTATCAGCACATTATAACTAAAGAGAGGCGAGGGGATTATTTGGGAAAGACAGTTCAAGGTAAAATCGTAATTTTTTCCTTTCCTTCGGTCGCATAAAAAATTCTCTATTGCTTGAAATGCTTTATGTTGTGATTTTTCGAAAAATAGTTGTGCCACACATCACTGATGCCATTCAAGAATGGGTGGAGAAGGTGTCCCACAGGCCAGTGACTGAGGATGGGGACAAGCCAATGGTAATTACAGATGAAGATAAAGATTTTCGCATTTTGCATATAGAGTTATTTATAGAGAGTTATTTAAAAATAAACTTTCCTCAAGGTGTGCGTGGTTGAACTTGGCGGTACGATTGGTGACATTGAGGGAATGCCCTTCGTCGAAGCTTTTCGTCAGTTTCAGTTCAGGGCGAAGAAGGAGAATTTTTGCGTCGCTCATGTGTCTCTAGTACCACAGGTAAATTGAAAGAATGAGTATCAAGGATGTCAAAGTATGAAATTGTCATGAAATTTGTCAGTTAAATTGCGTGAGAATTTTTTTTTTTAATCATGAATATTCAGCGTCATTCAAATTACATTTTGCACGGAATTATTAATTTTTTTAACGATTCGGTGGTTATAAATAAATAATTAAAATTGTTTAAGCTTTCGGAACGTTATTTTTTTAGGGATGAAATCGATTTCTGAAAATAAATAAAGTGGTTAAATTATTAATATGGATAAATTTGTTACACGTAAAACATCCTCGAAATTTTCAAAAATTGCACTTTTCAAATTATTTCATTAATCTTCCTTCAAAATTAGACTTTATCATTTTTTTCAGATTTTTAAAATGTTTTCTAACGGTTCAATATCGAGCTACAAATTCAGACATGCAAAGTTTAAATAATAAATTCACTGTAAAATGTCCAGAAACTTGAAGTCAAATGCGGCTCAAATGAAAGCTCTGATGTTCGACTACAAAAGGAGACAAGCGTTTTACAGAAGAAANTCCATTTCAGGTGAAGTTTACGTTCTTGATGACGGAGGTGAAGTTGATCTCGACCTCGGTAACTACGAGCGTTTTCTTGACGTGACACTACACAGAGATAACAATATCACAACTGGAAAGATCTATCAGCACATTATAACTAAAGAGAGGCGAGGGGATTATTTGGGAAAGACAGTTCAAGGTAAAATCGTAATTTTTTCCTTTCCTTCGGTCGCATAAAAAATTCTCTATTGCTTGAAATGCTTTATGTTGTGATTTTTCGAAAAATAGTTGTGCCACACATCACTGATGCCATTCAAGAATGGGTGGAGAAGGTGTCCCACAGGCCAGTGACTGAGGATGGGGACAAGCCAATGGTAATTACAGATGAAGATAAAGATTTTCGCATTTTGCATATAGAGTTATTTATAGAGAGTTATTTAAAAATAAACTTTCCTCAAGGTGTGCGTGGTTGAACTTGGCGGTACGATTGGTGACATTGAGGGAATGCCCTTCGTCGAAGCTTTTCGTCAGTTTCAGTTCAGGGCGAAGAAGGAGAATTTTTGCGTCGCTCATGTGTCTCTAGTACCACAGGTAAATTGAAAGAATGAGTATCAAGGATGTCAAAGTATGAAATTGTCATGAAATTTGTCAGTTAAATTGCGTGAGAATTTTTTTTTTTAATCATGAATATTCAGCGTCATTCAAATTACATTTTGCACGGAATTATTAATTTTTTTAACGATTCGGTGGTTATAAATAAATAATTAAAATTGTTTAAGCTTTCGGAACGTTATTTTTTTAGGGATGAAATCGATTTCTGAAAATAAATAAAGTGGTTAAATTATTAATATGGATAAATTTGTTACACGTAAAAAATCCTCGAAATTTTCAAAAATTGCACTTTTCAAATTATTTCATTAATCTTCCTTCAAAATTAGACTTTATCATTTTTTTCAGATTTTTAAAATGTTTTCTAACGGTTCAATATCGAGCTACAAATTCAGACATGCAAAGTTTAAATAATAAATTCACTGTAAAATGTCCAGAAACTTGAAGTCAAATGCGGCTCAAATGAAAGCTCTGATGTTCGACTACAAAAGGAGACAAGCGTTTTACAGAAGAAAAAATGTGTACGTCCACGTGAAAAGGGCCCACTTTGTCGCATTTATTTTGCGAGATATTCACGTTTTTGTGTTCACACCTTCCATTTAAACCAATGCTAAACTGATTTTTTGATCTTCTATACTAACGTCATTTTTCATACTATCGTGTTAATTTTGGGCTCAAAATGTGAGGAATCTCACTAAGATTATCGGAATGTACGTACCTCCAAACCGACAAAGTGGGCCCTTTTCATGTAGATGCCCACAAATAGTCAATGTACTTGGATATCCTTAACATGAAAAGTAGAATTTTTTCCATTTGAGAATATCAAAAGGACGGATTGGCATCTGATGTATTTATTTTGTGATGCATTGTAACTCTTGTGGAGATGCATCATTTCAAAACTATGAATGACAACATGCATTTCATCTGCCCATTAAACCTGTTTCACCTCATGCATTACGCAAAGAAAAGAGAAATTAAATCAGTAGCAAAATAGTAAAACGCAATTACGTAAAATTCTACATTCTTTGAAAATTGTATATTGCTCGGAAAAACTTGTTTTAGAGAAAAAAGTGAAGACCTTATTTGTAGCTGAAAAAATGCCTCACAGAAGACGGTTTTTGCCATTCTCCCTCAAAATTTCTCATTATCGAGATATTTTAATGTTTAATAAATAAATGGAATCGCCTGGTTTTGCTGCATTTTACCATTTCAATACTGAATTCTTCAATGCTTCGTTATGGGCATCGTGAAACAGTCAATGTATAAACAACTAATGAACTTGATTGCTTATGGCGCAGCCTCGGTCCTCTGGAGAACCAAAGACAAAACCAACTCAGGCAAGTGTTCGCGAGCTTCGAGGACTTGGACTCTCTCCCGACTTGATTGTCTGTCGCTCTGAGAACCCAATTGGAGAATCGGTGAAGGAGAAAATCTCAAATTTCTGTCATGTTGCTCCAGAGCAGGTGAATATCATCATAAATGTCAATAAAACATGATAATTCGTGTTGTTCTAAAATCAATCCACTTATGTTGATATATCCTTTATTACTCGACATTTTCACTCAATGCAAGTTTAATTAACGTTCAGTTATTATTGCATTTGATCCCTTGAAAAAGATACTATACACAGGCTTTCAGTTCCGAATTTGTTATTTTTTCGATACCTTCTAGAATCATGTCCTCAAAATCATCATCACTACTTGGTTCTGAAAACCAGCAACTTTTTCTCTCCACCCCAGAATAGTCACCCTGAAATGAACATTCAAGCTGGTGCTTCATCACAATCCCCTAAAATCAAATATCCACGAAATATTGTCAGCTCCAATCTCTTCCCCTTCTCAACTGAACCACCAATTGACCCCTGTCTTCCCAATCCACAGGTGATAACAATCCACGACTTGTCCTCGATCTACCGCGTCCCCATCCTGATGGAAAGCCAGGGAGTGATCGAGTTCCTGAACGACAGACTCCAACTGAACATCGGTACCCCCCGTCCCCGTCATTTTATGCGAAAGTGGCGAGACTTGGCGGACCGCATAGACCACCTCCGCAGAGACGTCAACATCTCCCTGGTCGGTAAATACACAAAACTGGAGGATGCCTACGCCTCAGTGACGAAAGCCCTGCAGCACGCCTCGATCGAAGTGGGTTACAAGCTCAAGTTGACGTACATCGAGGCTGCGAATCTCGAGCAGCAGACAAAGCAGGAAGATCCAGTGCTGTACCACGAGGCCTGGCAGAAGCTCTGCAGGAGCGATGGAGTCATTGTCCCAGGGGGGTTTGGTAAGAGAGGTATTGAGGGAATGATCGAGGCCAACAAGTGGTGCAGGATGAACGACAAACCCTTGCTGGGGATTTGTCTGGGTCTCCAGGTGGCAGTTATCGAGTTTGCTCGCAATGTTCTGGCCCTCGAGGGTGCGAATAGCACTGAGATCAACCCCAAGACGAGTCATCCAGTGGTCATTGACATGCCGGAGCACAACCCTGGGGAGATGGGGGGGACCATGAGGCTGGGGAAGAGGGCTACGAGGTTCAAGTCCGATAATTCAGTCGTGAAGAAACTCTATGGGAACGTCGATGGGATAGAGGAGAGGCATCGTCACAGGTACGAAGTCAATCCCCAGTATGTCAACGACTTCGAAGCTGCTGGACTCAAGTTCGTTGGGCACGATGAAGAGGGCCAGAGGATGGAGATCATCGAGCTCGAAGAACATTCCTACTACGTCGCCACTCAGTATCATCCTGAGTACTTGTCAAGGCCCCTCAAACCGTCTCCACCTTTCCTGGGACTCATCCTGGCTAGTGTGGGGAAACTCAAGTCCTATCTGGCTCGAGGCTGCAGACTGTCCCCTAGACAAATGAGTGATAATGATTCTGATGATGAGATGCTTGCTCATGTCATGGCTAAGGCGCAGGTCAAACCGAAGGCCGTCAGCAATGGGCTGCAGCCCAATGGACATAAGGATGATTAGGGATTTAAAGCGATAGGTTTCTTATTTTTTTATCAACGACTACGTCTCAGGTGCCATTTTTGTTCGCTTGTACTTAGTTTAGGGGTGTCTTTGGGAGTTTTTGTACGGTTTCAGAAGGGGTTTTTGGGGGAGGATGCACAACGGGGTGGGGGGTCGGAGTTCCATACGATGCATTTTTTATTGAAGGGGAATTATTTGAGGGGATGTTTGGCAGATTTTTAGGGAGAGTTATGAAGCAGGAAAAGGCAATTTTGAATTTTATATCTGTTTTTTCAAGATATTTTTTTGAAAAACCAATTAAGTGGAGACGATTATTTAAATTTTTAGTTCAACTCTTGTTACAAAATTTATCACTTTAACGTGAAGTTTAGTTCTAAATTTTCTCTAAAAAAAATGTATTTGCAAAAGTTCTGCTCTCTCCTACACTCTAACAACAAAACCTGAAATTTCGAATTGGAATTAACTCTTCCTGTTTCATGATTTTTCTTCTGATTTCTTCTCACTTCCGGATTAGTTAGAATTCATACTAGACAAGGACAGAATTAATCTGAGGAGTTACTATACTAGTTCGAAGCCATAATTATTACTCATCTTGATTGATATTTCCATTTTAATCACAAAGGACATCATATCATTAAGGGAAAGTTGTCAATTTTGTTTAATGAATGGGAGTTTTTTTATGATGATTGGTTGATTACATAATACAAAAAAATGAATGCAGTGGATTATTTTTATCACAGTTCTGTACACTTTATTCTTATTCCTTTTATTATCTTCCAATCTGAAGTTCCCAAGGATCTGGAAACGTGGAAAATATCTAATAGTACAAAATTACTGATTTTTGTCATTTTTTAATTATAAATACTGTTTATATACAATTCATTTGCATATTATTCATTGCTAGCTTCATCTGACAATGTCATTGTTCATTATTGCTGCATTATTGATATAAGAGTGGAAAGTTTATACGATAAATTAAAATAATAAAAGAAATGTATGACTTAGAAAATAAAATAAACCTAAAAATAAAAAAATGTTGTTGGACGGTAAAAAATTACAATACTGAGAGAAAAAAATAAGACAAATGAAAATTAAAAATAGCAGTCTAGCACTCCTTCGTGAGAATCTAAAATTAGAAATTGATAAATTGAAATTACTGTGACACTCTTGAGTGTAATATTACAATGTCACCGTTTAAGTAATTTCTATGGCATTTCGGCATTCTTTTCCCTTAAGAATAACAAATTCATGCATGTTTAGTAAAACGTCTTGTTCTTTCTAATTCTACTCACACGAGTCTTATAAAACACAAATGAAACGAAAAAATCAATCCTAGAAGTTCTAAAATGACGAGTAATATGAATAAGATCATTGAAAAATTCTATCAGTGGAGTGATAAATCGTAATAAATTAAATTCAGCATTTCTTCCATTCATTTATCCATCTGGAGGGCTTGATCTCCTGATGTTTCAATGCTTAACGAGATGTTGAAAATAAAATTTTTACGTTCCCTCCACTTCCATGAATTCGTTTAAAAATCAGGTAATAAAATTATCATTCCGTTAATGATCAAACTTTGGTTCTAATTAGTCACCAATTCACAGAGTGTATTCACTTCTCTGTTTGAGTCTCTTCTTTTAACAATGCGAAAGAAAAATTAGTAAATTTCTCTTTGATTGAATTAAAATAATTCCCATTTTTTTTCTTCAAAGAATGAGGAAAAACTCCCTTACTCTCTCAAATAATAAGTCTTATTTCATTGAAAAATGCAAAAGAAGAATAAAAATAAATCTCTTCATTCGATTAAAATAATTCCCACCGTCGCCCATAAAATAAGTGAGTCACCGACGCATAGAGTATATTCACTCCTCTGTTACTTTGAAAAAATGCTAAAGGATAATTTTCAAATTTCACGTGAATTGAGTTAAAACAATCCCTATCTTTTGTCTTTTAAAATCAATTGGAAAATGAAAGAGCTCTTCAATAATTGAGTAGTGTGAAGTGGGAGATGTTAATTGAATACGACAATTTTTGTTAATTCTAAATTTCTCTCTCTCTAATAAGTGGCTTTACAAGAAAATGTCACCACCGATTCACAGAGGAAATCCCTTACTCTTTCAAATAATAAGTCTTATTTCGTTGAAAAATGCAACAGAAAAGCAAAAAAAAATCCCTCTTCCTTCAATCGGAATAATTCTCCTCCTCGCCGAAGACTGAAAAATCGAACTCATGAATTCATAATTCAGTGAACCTCATCACTCTTTCAACTCTTTAAGAGGAAAGAATGACTGAGAGATAACTTCTGTGCTCAAATCAATCGGTGAATGCAATTGAAAAATGAAAGAGTCCATGAAACAGATCTTAAATAATTCAGTAGTGAAGTGACAAATGTTGATCAATTGAATACGACAATTCTTGTTAATTCTGAATTTCTTTCTCTAATCTGTGACTTTTCAAGAAAATGTCAAAATTTTTTTTGTAGCTGAAAAATTGCCCAGCGAAAAATAGTTCTTGTTCTCTAAAATCCCTCAGTAGCAAAATAATTCAAAATTTAACACGTGGAGAATGAACTTTTTACATTCCCCCACTTCACTACCAAATATATTCATCAGAAAATCAAATTATCCAATTCTAGCTCAGTTCATAATCGATTTTTGGTTCTGCATTTTAACTAGCCACCAATTCACAGAGAAAGTCCCTTACTCTCTCAAATAACGTCTTATCCCATTGAAAAATGCAATAGAAAAATTTTTAAAAAACCCTCAATCAAAATAATTTCCCTCTTTACAGAAGACTAAAAAACCCAACTCACAAATTCCAAATTCAGTGATGCTTACGACCCGTCGACAATCCCAATTGTCCCTCTTCAGATGAACCACTCTTTCTTCTTCTGCACCTGATGCCCAGTAGTCGAGTGAACAACAGCAGAGTCCGGATCAAGAGCCATCTCAGCCCCCTTGTCCTCCTGAGTCAAGTACTCTCCCTTATGCCTGGACATGTACCTCCCTATCAAAACAGCCATGATGATCAATGCAATGACGATCACTGATAGGACACTCCCAAGGATGGCAGTGTCAGTCTCATTATAGGCAGCACGAACTTTCTCCTCATCGACAACAGGTGGAGGTCTAGTTTCCACGAGATTTGGGGGATGAGTGATGGGTTCGACTCCACAAAAATCTTCCATCACCTGTCCCCCCATGGATCCGATGTTCGAAGGTCTATCCTGCTGGAAAAGCAGCTTCAGAGGGTAAATATCATCGAACTCAACCCTGGAGATGCACCCCCCAAAGCCCTCAATCATAGATTCGTTTCTCCCGATGTACATGTGCTGAATATTATTGAATTGAGCGTCAGCAGAGGCTTTTATATCGAAATCGAATTCCTTGGGCTCGTAATTGTCAACCTGAAGGACCATTGTTGCTCCATTATTCTTCCTGGTGACGCGGAGGTCGTGGTACTGCCCTAGACCGAAGTTTTTCGATGGGAAGAGCACCTCTTGGCGCTCGAAACCGAAGTCGAAGACCACTCGGAGGTATCCACTGCGGGCGATCATTATCGTCATGTATTCACCGGAGATGTTTGAGAAGAGACCCAGGAGAAAACCTTGGGGGTTCGTAGTTGTGAAGCCTATACGGATTTTTTCGGATATTGTCGAACGCCATGTGCCCATGAAATCGTATTTTATCATCGAGCCGGGGCGCAGGTTCACTCCAATTTCTGGAAATTAATTGCAATGCTTTTGGTTTTTGTCGAATGCATGAGATATTGAAATTTTTTTCTGGCATGAGTTTTTTGAAAGGATGGAAAAATTGAGGAACGAAGTGACTAAACAGTTTAAGGATATCCAAGTACTTTGGCTATTTCCGTCCAGTGAAATGCATTTCTACTTTTGTAGTCAAACATCGGAGCTTTCATTTGAGCCTCCTTTGACCCCGAGTTTCTGGACATTTTACAATGTTTTTATTAATGAGTCGTTAGAAAACTTTTTAAAAATCTAAAAAAACTTAGAGAGTTTACTTTTAGAGAAAGATTGATGAAATAATTAAAAAATTTTAATTTTTGAAAATTACAAGCATTTTCTATACATAATTTATAAACAACAGAAGGTGGAATGAGTCGTAATACATATATTTCATAAATTTCATAGATTTTTTTTCTGGCTTAGCATCTTTTTTAATTCAAAGATAATAATAATTAATTTCGCACCATAAACATCATTTTTGCGGAATCATAGCAAAATTATTCATATTCAGAATTTTACGTCTAAAAAAATGAGGTTTCCGAAAGTTTAAACAATATCAATTATTCACAAACAACAAATGTTAAAGAAAATAATAATTCTGTGCAAAATGTAATTTAAATGATGCTGAATATTAATGATTTTTCCAATTTTTTTTTTCACGCAATTTAATTGACAAATTTGATGATTGAAAATGGTTGAGTGTATAGTGTCGTCTGTCCAAAAGTGTAAAAGATTCTTGGATATCTTTAAGTAATGGAAATGACGAAATTTTTGTAATGACTTTTTTTGTAGCGTTCAATTCGCTCTATTCTATTCTATTCTATAAGGCATCGACAAAAATTTGAAATTTTTTTTCGATGCATAATATTTGAAAAAAAGCTGGCCAATAATCAAAGTCGACTTAAATTTGGAAATATTTTTAATTTGCAATTTCCTCCCTATTGGCTTTATTTCCATTGGGAATTATTCAAAAACACTCTTTGAAAATGTTAATTTTTTTCAACGTTTTTTCCATTGTACAATCATAATTTGTGAAGCTTCCGGGGCTATGTAAAACTAAATGGCAATTGCAGAACATTGCAAATTATCAAAATAAAAAAACAACCAAGATCACGTCTGAAAGATAATACACATGGGCCTTGAATGAAAATTAATGTCCTCACCATCAGCACAAATGGGTCCTTTGAAAGAAGTCCACCTGCAGTCACAGTTGTACCCATCATACCTCTCATGGCACGTCCCATTATTCAAACAAGGATTGCTCTCGCACCTCCCAACACAGCCCTCACTGACCCCATAAGTCGGCATCCTCCCATACCTTCTCAAGTCCTGGAGTCTTCCATTCAACAGCAACGCCCTTATGCAGCCAACGAACCCATCCCTGAATTTCGTAGTAGCACCAACAACCAAGTCCGACGTGAGATGAAGAGCGCGAACTGGTCCAGCTGGCTCCCTGATCTCATTCCTCAATGCACCATCCAAGACGATTCTCGCTTCCTTTCGATTCCTCTCCACAGACACTGAATGCCAGTTGTCGTCTGCTAACATGGACGACGTCTGCACACTGACAGTCATTGGACCATCACCCGCTTGATATTGGAACTGTATCTGATTACCACTGGTGATCGACACTTTAATGTAGTCCGTGGGGCCGGTGCTGTGAATTATTACAGCATCGGGTGTCGTTGTTTTAAATTCAAAGTAAATGTCTCCACTGTGTCCCATATCGAATGTCGGGAGATTAATCGTCGCGTCGGCTATGCGGAATGTCACGACATTTTTGAACAAGTCTGGAAAAGGAAATCATTCACATTAGTTTATTTCGAGGGGATTTTTTGATTCCGAGTGGAAGCATTGCATTCGTCAAATCAGGGATAGTCATATCCATAAATTATAATTACTGTTAAATTATTAAGTTGTCAATTAGTTAATATCACTTAAATTTGAATTATTGAAGCAATCATCAATTTAAACAATCAAATTTTGAATTATTCATTAATCAGCAATTGAGTTAGGAAGATTGACGATTATTTGGATAATCGGAAATCCCTTATAAGAAATTTAGTATTATCTACTTAATAGAAAATTTATGGTTCCATATTTTTCAATGTTTAATTCATCGTTAATTGGAAATTTGGATTATCATGATTAATATCAGTAAATTCAAATTCTGAAGGTTTTACTCTCTGATATTTAATTCAAATCATCGCATCTCCACACTCATTAAGATAGAAATATTGGACTAATGATGTGTTCACCTTAGCTACACGAGCGTAGGATCATTTACCTTAACTTGGTTCTAAAAAATGGAAACTTTTTTCTCCGCGTTCTACTGAAATTCTGTGAGAATTCTATGGGATTTCTACTGAAAATTACGTTTTCCTATAGCTATTTTTTATTGAAAAAAGTCAATAAATGTTAATTTTCCTATACAACTTATTCTCCAATTTCCATTCGCATAAACAAACTTCATACTAATGAAAAAAAATCTTATTTCATTTATGTACCTAAAACAGTCCGAGTCGTTGCAATTTCAGAGGTCCCTTTTTTACCCAGATATTCCCAAGGTAATTCAGTTCCTCATGAAGTAAGAAGAAAGAATATAAAAATAGTTCATGCCGTGCAAATCACAAAGCATAAGAAACAGAAACAATAAAAAATAAATTATTCTTACGATCTCCTTCGCAAATAAGGGGGCCAAGAGTGTATTGACCCTCTTTGTCGTCCAATGGTGTACCGGTATCACCAAGTCGTAATTGTCGTACAGGCAGGTACTCCTTTTCCGTGATATCACCACCATCCTCGAGCCAACCCTCTAATCCAGAATCACAATTACACCATTTTGTGGGATCAGCACAATTTCCCAGAACTCCGCATTCACATTTTCGTGATCCTGGCAGTGCACCACCCCAGTAATCCATTTTTTGGTTGTTTCTACTGACCCACCAGGAATTTGGCTCGAATGAGGCCATCTGAGGCACTGAACATGGCAGAATAAAGTTGAATTAATGAAAATTTATTTCAATTAAATTTGTCCAGAGGGGAGAGCGCATGGGGAATTTGATATTTTTGGCCATAAGATTTTTCTTTTCATTCAAATAATACAATTTACCACCAGTGGAATCGTTTATTTTAATTAAATAAATGGGTTCATTCAAATAACTTGTCCCTATGGTATTAATTAAAATTAAAAATATAGTTTTATCTTCGTTTTTATTCATATCAAATGAATATTTTTTAAATATAAACAAATGTTTGCTTGATAAAAAAAGGGAATTTTTATTTGGGAATGAATTTATTATTTAGGTGATAAATAGAACGAATTTATCAACATGTAATGAAATTTACTTTAATTAAATTTGTCCAGAGGGGAGCCACATGGGGAGTTTTATATTTTTGATCACAAGATTTTTCTTGTCATTCAAGTAATAAAGCTTCCACCCATGAATTATTAATATTCAACAAAAAAATATTGTTATGAATGAAATGAAATGGAATGAATGAAAAAAAGTAGACGAACAGTTTCATTTTATTGAAATGCGATATTTCAATGGGAGTACTCTTTTATAATTCAAATAATATAATTATTCAATTCTCTTATGGAAATTCAACAATTTATAAAATATAAAGACATTTCAAAATTTTGATCTCCTTAGACCCGGTTGCACCAGCTCCGGGTGACGAAAACGTCAGATAAGAAAAAAAGTAAATTTGGATATTCGATGAATTATTTTACCAGGGAGAGTATCTCAAATTTATCCCAGGAACAAAAAATAAAATTTAATCCGAAGGTTAAATCAGTGTTAATTCAAATGGGGCTACAGGATAAATAAAAAATTATTCTTCGGGTCAAATATCGGAAAATTATGAACTCTACGATATAATTGACGCCGAGGTTAAATTTTACCCTGGGGTTTATTTGGATGGTGCAACCGGGCTTTAAAAATGAATATTTCAAAGATTATTCAATGGATCAAGTTCCAATTAAATTATCAAATTTCCTGAAGTTCTATGGATTTATCCCAAAGATCTGATATTTATTCATGGATCATTTACCTGGACTATTAAAAAGTTTAGAATGCTTGCAGGAGTAATTGATCCTCTGTTTGCAATTAGTGGACCTATTGAGCATAGCCTCAATTTGATCGAGATCAGCGTCATAATTGATATCCTGGACGAAGCTGCCAGGCTCCTGGAAGCCGTCTACTGGCGTTGGCAATTCGTTGCTATGTCGAATAACAGTCATTACCCGTCCATCTGGGTAAAATTCACAGGTCACTGGGAATGGGTCCAAGGGACCACTGCCATCAACATCTATTTTAATCTCAGCTCTTTGATGAACGGAATTTTTGTTTTTGTGGGCCTCACATGAGAGGGGGTGCAGAGCTAAAAAATAACAATAAAAATTTTGAATGGACACCAAAAATGAAAATGAAAAATGGAAAAATTGGAAATGAAATCTTCGACGAATGGAAAAATTTATGTCCAAGAATTTTTATGTAAAAAGTCGCAAGAAAATGATTCACGTAGAAAAATCAAAATCTATTTATTTAGTTTTTTCATCAAATGTTTATTGAAAAATCATTGCACTGTTGACTGGCATAATCTTCTATGGAAATTTGCGCAAAAAACGAATACAATTTTTAATGGATTTTCAATAAAATTTCTCAGAGAAAGTTCTGGGTTTTACTGATGAATTTTAATAAAAATTAAAAATTCAAGAGAAAAATCATCTCGAAGGAAATTCTATTTAATTTCTACTGCAATTTGAGAAGAATTGTCTTGGTAATTCTACTAATATTTTGCGATTCTCAACAAATTTGGATTTTTCCACATAATTTGTTTATTAAATTTTGTTCTACTAAAATTCTTGACATTAATTTGAAATCCTTAACTTTTAATTTAAGAGAAAAATCTAGTCCTTCTCGAAGGAAATTCTACTAGTATTTCGCCATTCTCCACAGATATTTTCTCGATAAACTCAACAGACTTTAATTTTTCCCCATAATTTATTTATCAATTTTTTTTTGCAAAAATTCTTGGCATTAATTCTCAATTTTCCCTATTTAACATTATCAGTCACGTGAAGAATGAAAAAAGTCGATAAAAATAAATAAAATAAGCATTCTCTCCCCCAACTAAATATTTATTATACTCACACGTATGACAAACAGCTCCAGCATACCCCGTGCTGCTGCAGTCGCACGAGAACTCATCGGAATTCTGCCTGCATATCCCCCCATGTTTACAAGGATTAGGATTGCACCGATCGAGCATCTGACAGGCATCAAAGACAATCTCATTTTTGCAGCAGAAATCGTCATCCCTCCAGTCACCGGGGGCCTTGACATTCCCATCAATGCTGATCTGCCTCATGCACCCGACAAACCCCACATTCGGCCCCATCCCCGAAATCCCCCCGCCAATCAAATAAACGGGCCCAGTGCTCATCTCCAAGACCCTCTTGGTCCTCATAGGTCTCCCATCGACATTCAAAACAATGCTATTCTTGCCAACAGTGAGAACAACCTGGTGCCACTTCCCATCATCGAACCTCTCCTCGAAGTTGTCTAAAATGGCAGTGGGACTTCCCTTGGTCTCGATCTGAACCTTGATCTTCCCATCTTCCAAGAACATTTTCACGTACCCTGGGGTCGTGAACTGATGGAAGAGGAGCATTCCCCTGGCCTCGTAAGTGCGAAAAGCCAGTGACACATTCAGGAAAAGAGCGCTCTCGTACCCCTTGATCCTGACGTAAGTCCTCGGTTTCAAAAACGTCACAGGAATAATTTGTGGCTGAGGACAACTGTAAATGGTGTTGATCCTGTGGTACCTCAGGTTCTCCCCAGTGGCCTCAGCGTCCTTCAGTTCCCTGAATAAATTAGTCTTATTCAAGTGGAGATTCTCAATGCAGCCGGAGAAATTCTGAGTGACAACGAGTCCCTCTTGCACATTGGGTACCCCTCCAACGAAGAGCTCCCTATTGAGATCCAATCGATGAAATTCCCCCTTTATCCGGCCCTTCACTATGACCCTGTCCACCGAGAATGCTATGTTTTTTCTATTCCTGGAAATAAGTACATCGTGCCACATGTTATCGTCGAGAAGACTCCCAACGGAGAGGCTTGTCGTTATTCCAGATCCCAGATCGATGTTCAACAGCATTCTATTGTCACGTAATTGCACTGCTATGAAATCCCCCTGGCTGCCGCGCGAGTAGAGGAGGACACCGTCAGCATTGTTCGTCTTGAAACGAAAACGTATTGAGTGACGATCGGTTTCAATCGGCTCACGCAGGAGGTCCAGTCGCACGAGGGAGGTGCCGTGAAACGATATTACGTCGGCATCTGTGGAAATTGAGTTGGAGTTTTGAGTCTTTTGGGGGGAAATTTTTTGGGAGGGCGATGCTGCGCTGGGGATGCATTGAGGTAATCGATTTTTCGGGGGAGGGGTTCTTACAGCCGGAGAAATGACGCATTTAAGGAAAATGAAAGGTTTTTAGGATATTTTAGACTCGTTTCAATAATAGTTTTGCTGGAAATTCGCGAACTCGTTTGTTTAAGAGAATGGGCATGGTTTTTGTTATGCACTGAGGGAAATAAAATAACGTGCGGATTTTTTGGGGGAGGAGAAATAACGCATTTAAGTAAAAGGAAAGTTTTTTAGGATATTTTATGATCGTTTCAACAATAGTTTTGCTGGAACTTCGTAAACTCATTTGATTAATAGAATGGGGATGGCTTTTATTACGCACTGTTAGAATTATTTTGAAATTTCATGGAACACATGATAGTAATTCTCATGACAGTGACATTGAATCGGATTTAGGTGAAAAATGGTTATGACATTTCAAGTTTTAGGTAGGGTAAGTTACCCAGTAGATGGACGCTGCCCTACAGATGGACGAGGTACTTTTGGATAGGAAATTATGCAAAAAAATAGTCCAACGTGCATCGTTGCTTTGAATTTTCACTAAATGTTGTGATTTTCAACCCTTGAATGGCGATTTTTTTTGATCAATTGCTAAAAAACAAATGTCCATCTACTGGGCGGTTTTCTTAGGCGTTCAACTATTGGGCAGTTTACCCTAGAATTCAAAGAAATTCATGAGTTTTCAGTGGGGGTAAGCTACAAGTTTCCCAACTTCATTGAATTTTTAACGGAACATGAATATTCAGCAACAAAAGGACATGAATTTCCAATTTATCCCTGAATTTTCTGAATTCTCACGGAATAATTTAACTGAAAAATCTAGTATTCTATTGATTTTCGGATCATTTGAAGCGGAAATTAAGCGAAAAATAAAAATTCATAAACTGATATTTACTCGAATGAAAAGGTTTAATTCAACTGAAATAAATAATTTATTCATTCCTAATAAATTATGTGTTAGAATCAAATGAATCGATTTAGTCAATTCAAATAAAGTTCATTTAATTCATTAAGCAACTATATTAAAAGCATTTCTCTGGGTGCAATTGGGTTAATTTCTACATGTAAATTAGCTTTTGAAAATAGTCAGTTTTATTTTGTTCTTAATTCTGGTAAATAAAAAATTCTACTGGACTGAGATTAATGAAGTGCAATTATTGTAACAAAAATGGAAATGAATCTTTGAATTAACATCAACAGTCAGTCGTTCAAATAATTGAATATCAGTGACAATTTAGTATAAAACTGCTCACTTGACTTCAACGGATGATCTCTCTGAATTTCCAATACGATTTTCCTTCAAAATACACAAATCCAGAGTTACGACTATTTGTTCTAAAGTGCATTGCTTCTCTCGCGTTAAAAACCTCTATAAAAATCCCCTATCTACGAACGACATGAGGAAAACCGTCCGTTAATTCAACGAATAATGTCCCAGGGCATTCGAAGATTTAACGACTGAATTTTTACGACAATTCTGACATCTCAATAAATTACAGTTGAATTACATTGAATTGATGATTCCCAACTGCGTTACTCTCAGCACAACGTATTTTCACATCTCTGGCGTTTCTTACCTTCCATTTTATTCCTATAGCCTCATTAATAAAGAAACATTGTCAAAAAAAATCATCGTAAATTGTGAAAAATGTAATGTTGATTTATTCGTTTGAAGAATTGACTTTATTCTCATTGTTTGATATTTGGGGCGTATTTTATTGGTTCACCTCCACAAACGACCAGTTGTGAATCACGGTAAATTAGTTAAAAATATTGCTGTGGGGGAGTTGTTACTCACTGTATTCACAGCCATAAAGCTCCAGACGCATTGATATCCTGTCCTGCCACCGTGTCGGATTTATTCGGATCCATTGGGCTATAATAGGCACTTCGAATTTGTTCAGCTTTATCGATTCGGCGTCTGCGTTTCCTTTGAACATCTGGTTGGAAAAGCAACTATTAATCCCACGGGTTTTTCTTGTTACTCCACATTGTTGATTTATCCTATTTGAGTCTTAATTCGACACTCATGCGGTTCGTGTTAGTCTAGCTGCGTATTTTCGGAATTAGTATGAATTAAAAATGATTGTGGAAATGCTGGTGGGATAATTGGACACCCGCAGGGCTTTTGTACCTCATAAAAACTGCGAGCGTGCGCAATTGTTATTTGATTTTATTATTTTGCTATTTTCTTCTTATTTTGTGTATTGCCCGCTGAATGTCACGACATTGTGCATGTTAGTATCAAATACAGAGTTTGTTAGTGCAAATGTGAAGAAAAATGTGATATTCTTAAATTTCTGTATGAATCTTGGAATTTTAATGCACCCTGTGAAATAATGCATTTGAATCAAATCAAACTATGAAAATGAATAAACTCATTAATTTATTTCAATGCAAATGTTTTAATTGTATGAAAGAAATACTTCACTTATTCCGAATAAAGAATTATTACGAATTAATGGATTGATTCCCTCCAACTAATAAATCCTTGCTTTATATTTTATATCGTCCGAAAACAGGAGAGTTGTACATAGTTTTCTATTTTTGGGGGATTTTATATATGAAAGGAATAGATACGGTTCAGATTTTTGTAACAGTATTCGCCCGCATAAACTCACGGAATTGTGCATGTTAGTATCAAATATAAGGTTTGTTAGAGTCAATGTTGAAGAGAAATATGAAGAAAAATATGATATTCACACGTGAAACCCTGGTGCGAGTGCTGTAGAAGCTTGAATTTCCATATGAATTCCGAAATTTTAATGCACATAGAGAAATAATGCATTTGAATAAATTAAAACTTTGAAAATGGATAAATTCATGAATTTATTTCAATGCAAATGGTTTAATTGTATGAAATAAATAGTTCATTCATACCAAATAAAGAATTATTAATTATTTAAGAATTTTTTTTTTCTGTTAATGAATTTATTTTCTTCGCTGTCTGAATAATGATTTCATTTCTAACTAATAAATTTCTATTTTATCGTCGAAAATAAATAAATTCCGTTTATGTGATTTTTGTAAAAAGCATCAAGCATTCGTCCGCATAAAGTCACGGAATTGTGCATGTTAATATCAGATATAGAGTTTGTTAGTGTCAATGTTAAAGAGGAATGTGATATTCCCACGTGAAATCCCGAGACGAGTGCTGTAGAAGCTTCAATGTCCATATGAATTTTGAAATTTTAATGCGCCTAGAGAAAGTGCCCCCGAAATTATTTAGTTTTGCCAATAACACAGTTTTCAGCAAGAAAATTGTAGTTTTCTCTTGAAATTATCAACATGCACTAGATAAAACCGGAGTCTCGTATAATTCTCTGTAGAATAAATCTATTTACCTGCAAGACATATAAATGTTTCACGAGAACAGTTACTACTACGAAAATTATCATGTTTTGAAGATATAATTTTTCGGCAGAACTAATTTATTCTCTCAGTGTGAACAATAAAAAAATATTCTTATTGGCCTCCTTTTCACTGCAGACAAGAGAAGAAAATAAACGCGTGACACATTTTGGCCGTCCCCTTTTTATTATAGAGGTAACAAACACGTTCGCATCATCATAGCATGTCCTGATGCTTTAAAGATTCATTATGTGACAACGCGAAAAAATTACTGAATGGATTTTCCCTGTCACGTTAAAAGTAATGATATTGAGTGGATGATCACGTGATACCCCAATGAACATGGATCAACGGCGGAAAATCCCTGAACCAGTACCTCTTCAACGCCGTCCTGACTCTCATAACTAGTCCAGGCGTTGCCATCGTCAGAATACTCCACAATATACTCAGTAATGAATTCATTCGTCTTCGCCCGTCCACGTGTTGCAATACTCCTTATCTCACATCTCTCCCCCAAGTCCACAGTAAGATGCTGATTGTAAGAATTGTCTTCTGGTGTCCAAGCACCATACCCTGGAATACCCAGTGCCCAATGCCCGTGTGTATGAGGAAGAGGAGAAGTTTATATGCATGGGGTGGATCAGATGGAAAATAAATTGCATTCATCCCATCTTTTTTGAAAATAAATAATGAATTTATTCCAAATAATCCGTCAGTAGTTCGTCAATTCATCTGACAATTCGTTAGAAAATCCACTCTTTAGTGTCTCGAATTTTTAATTGAAAAGACTCATTCGAATGATTCAGTTATTTCAACTGGAACAATCCTTTCAAGACGAAGTGCTGGATTTTTTAAAGTATATCTCGAAACCTAGGGGAGGTAGGGGAAATTTTATAAGGACCTTTTTTGTAGAGAAAAACAAGAGCTACAAAAAAGGTCATTACAAAAAATTTTCTGTCCCTCGTAGATTCCGAGATATTCTGAAAAAACTGATCTTCACTCTTTCCTTATTCATTTATTTTCCATCATCACCAGTTATTATTCTTATCTACAAGTACGAAAAAATACAATCGAAAACCTAGTGAACTTGATATGAAATTCTATTAGTTTCTCGCCGATTCTATAGAAAATCAACAATTTTTCCACACGCCTTTTTAAAAGAAACATTTAATGGAGAAAAATCAATTTCGATTTTTGTATACAATTCACATTATCAAGATAAATTTATTTCTAGAAAATAAATTATCCAATTTTTTTGTAAACAAGCCGATGAAATTCTGCAGAAAAAATCTTGACAGAATGAATTGTTCGATTTTTCTTATAAAAAATTTTCCATTTTTTCCATTTGTACTTTTGTACACAAAAAACGCAGAAAAGCTGTGGAATTTTCACCAGTACTCCAATAGAATTCCCCAAGACTTAAATATTTCAACTCAATTTTTCGCACATGTATTTAAACTCCAATTCATAAATAAACAGATCCAAAGAATCTACTTTCTACTCCAGAAAACAAGCGAAAGTGACGTAATAAAATTTTCATGCACTACTCATTCCACATGGCAATGCTACGGAATTTGTTAGTCATACTCTAGTCATAAAATTTTCCAGAAATTCTCGAGATACATTCACTCATGCTCGCTCCGCAGCTGTGGGTAACACATATCGTGAAAATGTTTGTCCTCATTCTTTGTTACAAAATCCAATAGTCCTCAATATGTCCTCAGTGATTAAATAAAATAAACTCGTGAATTAATAAAAGGACTTTGGATACCAATAGATTACCTTGGGGTATCCTCCTTCTTCCTTGACGTCGACATAGTCGAGGTCATTGGTCCCGTAGCTGATAGAATACTCCGTAACGTATTCTCCGAGGTTTTTACGTCCCTGGGTCGCAATAGCTACGACGTTCATTAACTGACCCAGGTCGATTATCAGGTATTGATAGCTATCAGAGCTGCCTGATGTCCATGCTTTCTCGCCTAGCCGACAACAATGTTACTTACTCATGCATGCAACTCAAATGTAACTTCTTATTTTTTATCATTGAATTTCAGGAATTTTTTGGATCATTATTTGTCGACTTTTGTTTTCAAGTTGAGAGATTCAGTGCGAAGTGGTTTTATATTTCTTACTTTTGTTAAAGAGTGGGGGTGATTTATTGACGAGAAGAACAGAATATGAATATCTTTTTGTTTCGTTTTCATGCGCGAAACTCAGTAATTCGTCCTGATTGAGATTTCATTTATCATGTATTTTGAATAATTTTATAGATTTCAGGTTTTTTAATTTTCGGTTTTTTCACTATTGGAATGAATGTTGTTTTCCATTTTCTGATTTCAAATGAAAGCATTGAATTTGTGAAATACGAAATTTCCAATTTTTTGTGTTAGGATAACTAATTTTTACCTGAAAGGTAAAAAATTTCAACGGTCGAGCAATGTTGACTGTCAGTGTTGGGACAATGTTGACTGCCAACGTTCGAACAATGTTGAATTCAATGATTCATTGAATTCAATTAAATTTCATCGTCATAGAAATTTCATTCGGAAGCAAATTGTGAATTTATCAGGAAAAATATATTGACTATATTGTAACGAAATTTCCACTCGTTTCGATTTCGACATATGTAGATTCTGAATTCTAAAAAATCATGAAAATTCCCCGGTTTTCCAGAAAATTCTCGACCTTTCTAGAAAATCGATCAATCGAAACATTTTGGAAAGTGGAAGGAAATTGATCAAAGATGCGAAATTATGAATTGATTTTCATTTTTCATTCATCTTTATCATCAGTTGCGTTTTTTTATATGTATCATTCATTTTTATCATGGATTTATGAGTTTATGGAATTTGGAAATGGCATAATGGTCTGGAGGAGTACGAATTCATTTGATATGAATGCAAGCGATCTGAATAATAATTCAATTCCAAATATCTTTGATTTAATGCTTAAAGCTATCTAACATTTCTAAAAAATTTCGAAATTTTTTGAAAAAATATTAAAAAACAAAAGATGATTTTGATGTAGTCCTTGAATTTTTAACTAAAATTTCAAGGACTTCGATACTGAAAATTCACAATCCGATAAGAAAATGAATGGAAACTGTAGATTTTAGCTCAATTACTTGACTGAAATAAACAGAATAAATTAATAAATTATCTCACTGTCTCGTATGAAAACCCTTTTACCACTAATACAGTAAAAATGATGCTGTTGTCTTCACATTCACCCTCCCAAAAACATCATCAAATCAGTTTCATTTCCCACTTCGCTACTGAATAAACCCCTCAAATCTTCAAAATTTCAAAACCCCCTAATCATTACATCAACAATCCTCGACAAAATCATAGAACCCATCTCTCACAAGAGAGCCTCCAAAAAATCCATGAGCTAACACAATGCCCTACACTACACGTAAAGCACATGGCGAACGTAAATGCACTAGGGGATCCGAGCTAATCAAGGTAACAACAGGGTAGTCATTAGGGGATTCAACACAATAGCCGACACAGGCTCTTTTTTATCCGAGCCCTTCAACAACCCTCCAATAATGACCATGTTTGCACGTTATAAGTATTCGTTTTATTCACCCACTGACCGTCTTGCGTACAATCGTGTGAACCACAAACGAATCATCAAAGTTATAAAAAAATCATAGTAATTTTTCCACATCAACCACATCACCACTAAAATTATGTACATCGTCGCCTGTTAAGGCCTCTCAGTCTTCCCAAAATAATTCTTGCAGAAGTCGTCGTCCTCCGCATGCAGCGGAACCGCAAATTTCACCAAATCCTCAAACGTCATCATAACGAAATGGTTATTCTCATGGGGACCTTCTCCCTTTCCAATCTCCAATGCAACTGCAACGCAGTGATCGGAGTCAATCATAGTTTCCTCAAAAACCCAATTCCGTTGAACTCCTCTCTCATATAGAATCGTATCGCTAACCACCTTATCACTTCTCAAATCTGACTGCGTTTGGAAATCCAATTCCCTCAAGTCCACAGTTATTCCGACGCTGAGAGCCTTAACATAAGATTCTTTGAGTGCCCAATGCCGGCAGAACATGGCTATTTGTTTGGATTCCGGGGTACCAGGCGCTCCCCTGATCTCATTCCACTCTGAGGACGAGAAGTTTCGGTTCATTATTCGAAAGAACTCGGGAAGGGCTTTTCCTCCGGAGTATTCAAGCTTCATGACGTCAACACCAATCTTCAGATCTTCTGATTCACCGGCTAAGACCGTGTAATTACCTTGGTGGGAGACGTTGAAGCTGACGGGTATCGACGGATTCTTGAGGATCGGTCTTCCCGTAGTTTCGTCTCTCATTAGTTCAATTTTATCGTAGGGAATCTTCGTGAAGTCATTTATGAACTTTCTCATCAAGAGACGACCTATTAGTGAGGCTGTCAAGTCTTTCCGGAAGACAAACTTCGCTAGTCTCGCCTTCTCCTCCAATTGAAGACAGGAAATGGCGAGTTTTAAGTCCTTTTCGGATGGGGACCACTCCCCCCAGTTGAAGGCCCATCTCACACTCGTCTTCGTCATCTTAATGACTGTATTCGTTTTTATCATCAAGTGGTCCTTCAGCTCTATTTGTTTTAGTGACTCACTGCTGGACTTCGGTCATGCACCCGAGTTTCAGTTGGACGTAATTTAATTTGATTCAATTTATTGGTGGGAAACTGCCGACAGGTCTGATTCTCAGATCATTCAGTGGAATAGCTTATTGCCAGATTTGATTTCATAAGTCGATTTAGTGTGATTGATTGGTGATGATTCCTAGAATCAAGGGGAAACGTTTTCCTTCCTGGGAATAATCAACAGTCACCTGAAGCAAAGAGATGATCTGACTCATTCTCTGACTGTCTCGATATTCGGAATTTTGTGAGGATTATTTGCTGATTTCATTTTAAAGCGGAGAGGTTCAGGACGAAGTAGTTTGGACTTTTGACTTTTTTTTGACAGAAAAATATCTTTGATTTGAGGCTTGAAATTACACGGTTCGAAATTTTGGGGTCGAATTCCCCATACACTTCTTGGAAATTTTTATCAAATGAAAATGCCACTAAAATTTTGAAGAATTAATGGAAATTTATGATTTTATGAAGAAATCAATGGAAATAGTAGAATTTTACGAAAACATCAACGGAAACTAAATTTCAGTTCAATAATTCCATGAAAATTAATAGAAAACCGGAAAATTCTGGTGAATATATACTTCAATAGAACTTCGACATAATTTAATACTGAATATTCATATTTTTGTTGAAAAGTCAATGATAGTCATCGGTCATGAACCCTCAGAGGCTTCAGTTAGAGATAAGTTGATTCTCAGATCATTTAGTGAAACATCCCATTGTCAGATTTGATTTCATGAGTCAAATTATTGGAATTGATCTTCCTAGAATCACTGGGAAACGTTTCCCTTCCTGGAATTAATCAACAGTCACCTGAAGCAAACAGATGATGATTCATTCTTTGACTGTCTCGATACTCGAAATTTTTTGAGGATTATTTGTTGATTTCATTTTCAAATTGGGAGTTTCAGGGCGAAGTGGTTTGCATTTTTTACTTCTTTTAATGAGAGAAATACCTTTCATTTGAGGCTGGAAATTACACGGTCCGAAATTGTGGGCTGAAATTCCCTGTACACGTCTTAACTTTTATGAAAAAATCAATGCCAACTGTAAATTTCAGTTCAATTATTCCATCAACATTAATAGAAAACAAGAAAATTCTGGTGAATATATCCTTGAACTTTGAATTCAATTCAACTTCAACATAATTTAGAACTCAATATTCATATTTTTGTTGAAACGTCAATGACAGTCTCCATCATGAACCCTCAGAGGTTTCAGTTAAAGATAATTTGATTTTCAGGTCGTTTAGTGAAACATCCTATTGTCAGATTTGATTTCATGAATGGAATTATTGTGATTGATCGTTGAAACGTTTTCCTTCCTGGAATTAATCACCAGTCGCCTGAAGCAAACAGATGATCTGACTCATTTTCTGACTGTCTCGATATCCGGAATTTTTCGAGGATTATTTGTTGATTTTTTTTTTTAAGTTGAAACGTTCAGGGCGAAGAGGTTTGATTTGAGGCTTCAAATTACAAAGTTCGAAATTTGGAGCTGAAATTCCGTGTACACGTCTTAAATTTTATGAAAAAATCACTGGCAACTGTAAATTTCAGTTCAATTACTTCATCAAAATGAATAGAAAACAAGAAAATTCTGGTAAACATATTCTTAAACCTTGAATTCAATTCAACTTCAACATAATTTATAACTCAATATGCATATTTTTGTTGAAACGTCAATGACAGTCTCCATCATGAACCCTCAGAGGTTTCAATTAAAGATAATTTGATGTTCAGGTCGTTTAGTGAAACATCCCATTGTCAGATTTGATTTCATGAATGGAATTATTGTGATTGATCATTGAAACGTTTTCCTTCCTGGGATTAATCACCAGTCACCTGAAGCAAACAGATGATTTGTTCCATTCTCCGACCGTCTCCCATTCGCTACTCGAGTCTAGGATTTTCCGGAAGGATTCGTCAGTTGATTTACCGACATTTTTCTAGTATATTCAGTCTTATGATTGTATGAGCAAGTCAGTGGGTCAATGATCTAGAGCATGGGCAATTGCGCGTGGGTGTGGATAAAGAGTTGTTGCCTCTTCCCTCACGTACAATAAGAATGCGAAATCAATCTAAGGTTGTCTAGCTATTCGATTACACAGCGAGCAGATTAACTACCGAATCGACAAATTTAATGAAAATACTTTTAGAGAATTTATGCTATAAAGATAACAGTAGTGTTTCTACGGACAGAATACCACTGCATAAATTGGGGCACGAAGAAGATTCATTTTGAAAAATATAATTACCGTTCAGTTGAGCATCTTTCGCTTCTCTACCGGGCATGTGGGACGTCGCCTTCAGCTGGGCTTTGTGGAGCAGTGGTTGGTTGCATTCATAGTCATCTGAAAATACATCGGGGAATTTATGAATGGGGACTAGGCGAGTTCGGATGGATCTCAGACATGCGAGGTTACCATGACGATGAAACACTGTGTGATCTATAAAATGTAATGACCCACATGGAGCTCTCGTTTCTCTTCACTCGTGGTATCTTGTTTGTGTGGAGGAAAATTCATGGGTCGGTTATTGGGGTAATGGAATTATTTTTTAGGTGAATTGAGGATGTGAGAGATAGGGGTTTTTTGAGGAATAGTGAAGAGGAAACATATTTTCAGATGTTGAGAGGTGATTTTTGGTTCTGAATTGGAATTCGAGATGGAAAAAATGATCGTCATTTTTGGGATCATGTCATATTACCAAAAATCACGGTCATGCGACGCACAACTTTTCTAACTACATCTCGTCTCCTCACGTAGTGGCGCTTCGGTTTCAGTCTTACGCTTATTCGAGATTTTCGAGATATATCGAGATCGATTCCCTTTCTCCTTTTTACGATAGGAAATACTTTGTCAGCTAATTTTTGTCAAACCATAAAATAGAGATGTATACACTTCAGTCTCCGTACAAGATACTAGGACTGAATCCGTGCTAAGTGATACCCCCACTTTCTGGCTTGAATGTTTTTATTTTCGCATTCTCCGTACAAGATACTCGACAAAGGGGCTAGAATCCAGTGGGAATGGAGTTGAGAGACTTTAGAAATTACTGGAAATATATGCATCTAGGATCTGGAACTTAATTCCACATCAATTGAATTTCAAAACCAATGGGCACTCGTTACAGTTAATAAAAAAAATTAAACACATCGGTCAGATAACTTGGGAAAATATCAATTTTTTTACACGTATTGCACCATATGTTTTACGTCCATTTTTGGATGAATAGATAGACAAAACAAAACAAAATTCCACCCAATTTTTATGAAAACCAAAAGTCTAATGAAAGTCTCAACTTGCCTCATAGGCCCCTATTAACAAGCTAACTTATTCCGAATTTTTAGATTGTTATTTTGAAAAGGAATAATACCTTCTAATCAAACATTCGTATTTCACATCAGGAAACGTACTCAAATAATCATAAAAATGGAAATCGCCTAGTATCTTGTACGAAGAATATCAAATCAAAATATTTTCCCCTCTGAGCGCAAGTAAAGTGGGGGATACGTGATTTTCGGAATTTTATTCCCCTACAGTCCCTTGAGGTATCTTGTACGAAGGTTGGACTGTATTCGTCACGCCTTAATTATTCGCTAATAAATCGATGGAATTAAATCTTTGGATAAGAAGTTTGAGTAAATTATTTATTCTATTCTATAGAGTCCTAACGTAATTTGAGGAAGTATTTTTCATTATTCATTTCTCCGAGGGGGTTTTATATGGAAGAGAATTTATGGATTATTTATTGAGGTTATTTATAGATTATTTTTTGAGGTGGATTTTAGAATGTTAATGGAAAGTTAATATTTAGAAATCATTTATTGAGGGAGATAAGCGAAAATTCATTGGAAATTTTTCACAGCTGAATGAATTCGTTAATTATCTTTTAAAAAGATTTTAAAGGTATTCTTAGAATATTCCGGGAGAGAAATTGTTACGTCAAATGTTTTTCTTACTGAGAATGTACTTTTTTCTTCGATAAAACATTTTTAGAACATGAAATGGAGTAATATCTAGTGGAGTAAAATTAATGCTCTAGAAATATTTCTGAATGTCAGGAACATAATGAAGAGTTTATGAATTTTCTGCAGATATAAAAAAATTTTGCAATTCGATTGAACTTTTATTTTCATCACGTTATGGTTCCACTCACATTTCAAGGAATTTCGTCATTGAAAAGTGACATTTAGATTCAATAATCGATTGAAACTGTAAATTTTAGTTCAACTGTTTCAAAAGAATTAATGGAAATCTGGAACATTTAGATAAAGGTGTTCATCTAAATTAAAATTTTTATTTATTTATTTAAAATTAAATAAATTTTAAAATTATGAAATTTTTATTCATTTACTTAAATCTAAACAAATTGAAAATTCAGCGTAAATTAGTACTGAATATCCACGTTTTAATTGCAAACGCAAGTCAATTGGGAAATCGAAAATTTCGAAATTCGAAATCTTCTTGCTGATCCAAAATTTGAAATTCCATTGAATTTTCAGTGAATTTAAAAATTCCACGATTTTTTCTCCTCCATAAAATTTAACATCGTTATCTTGGAAATTGCTAACAAACTCTCCATAAAGATTTTTGTGTAACATCTTACCGCCTTTACAACAATCCAAATATTCTCCAACGATAAAAAAACTTCGCAAAATCTTTCATTTTCCACGCTTACTACATTTTCTGTCGTTTGATACAGTATTCAAGAAGCCGGAGAAGCTCAATCTCCTAACTCAATAACTGATGAAACAATCCTGACCCATTCACCCATTAAGGGGAGACTACTATGAGTTCTAAAAGTCGCGGGCTATTGGAGTGAGATTTTTCATGCGTTGAAGATCAATTGTAGGTGCTGTTAAGCTCGATCAATCGCCATTAATTGAAGTTTCATTCATCGATTAGTTTTTTAAATTTTCGATTTTTTTTCGAAAATCGGTTGTGCCACGATAACTAAAAAAAGTTCTGAATTGATTGAATGATGGCTTAAAAAATTTGTTCGGATGTCCTTTTGACCGAATTCGAAGATATCTAAATATCTTTTATAGTTTTGTATAGACCACAATAAATTCAACCTTTTTCAATCATAAAATTTGTCAATTAAATTAAGGGTGAAAAATTTGAAAAAAATCATGTACATTTAGCGTCATTAAAATTACATATTGCACAGAATTATCATTTTCTTCAACATTCATTATTTACAAATAAATAATGGAAATAGTTTAAACTTTTATAAACCTTATTTTTTTAGGCTGAAAATCGATTTCTGGTGAAATTCTAAATATGGATAAATTTGTTACAATTCCGAACAAATGATTTTTATGGTGGAAAATTGATTGTTTATAAATTATTCACAGAAAATGCTTGTAATTTTCGAAAATTGCAATTTTTGAATTACTTCCGCCTAAATTAAAATTTCTATTTTTTTTTTCAATTTTTTTCTAACGGTTTAACATTGAGATTCAAATCCAGATCTGCAGAGTTTAAATAATAAAATCATTGTAAAATCTCCGGAAATTTAGGGTCACGTTCAAATGAAAGCTCTGACGTTGGACTACAAAAGTAGAAAGACATTTCGCTGGCGAAAAAATAGCCAAAGACTTGGATATCCGCAAGAAGATTCGCAAAACGACTTGTCGCCAGAAAAACAGAAACAATCTCCAAAACATCCTTCAAAAAATCCTCTTCTCTCAATAAAAAAAGCAACAAAATCACGACATGATGGGCTTGGTCTGAGGACTCACGCTCGCACTCATCACGCAGTGATTCATGAAAAAATCTTATGAATGACACCAACAGACTCATTAATAAACATTATCTGTACTCACATGAGGTTATTGGCGCAGCGATGGCCGTTAAAATGTATCCGAGGCACAAAATTTTGTTCATTGTACCATCTCTCGAGTTCACTTTGTTATCGCGGAGTCGAAGCGTCACTGATATCTGAGAAAAACTTTTTTTTATTGAGATGAAACCTTCCCCGCGATGGTAGGACGCTCATCAGCGAATGAGGGAATGCAATGGGGGGTGAGTGATCGGATGGAGAACCGGCTCCCGCCTGGGGAGAGTCGTCATAAACACCCGGGACGCCATCTGTTGGGTTATTCGGCACTCGTCAGCTGACAGCAGCGTTCGAATCTCCCGCGCGGGTGCAACTACACACATGATCACCCGGTGAGACATTTAAAAAAAATTATTGAATTTTTTAAATTGATTTTTGATGAGTATGGAGAAATTTGCATTTTGAATTTGGCGGTTTGGCTCCATTTTTGGACTGCGTTCCAATATGGCGGCAGTCGGCGTTGGGGGTTCGTGTGGGCGCGTGTTCTCGCCGGTTTTCTCCAGTATTTTCGGAGTTTCTGAGGATTTTTATTGATGAATTAGTGAGTGTATTGATTGTTAATGATGTTTGAATAGTTTAAAGTCATATATGGACGTGAAAATCAGTGAAATGAACGGGAAATCATGTTTTGTGTCAATGACTGAAGGTGGCCGGCGTGGGCACATGTTTTGGCGGTTTTTTCTGGTACGTTTGGGGTTTTTTATCGAATTTTATTGACAAATGAAAGTTTGTGGTGATTGACAACGATGATTTGACGGCTTGAAGTCACAGTCTGATATAAATATCAGTGACATGGGATGGAAATCATGTTTTGTTATTGAAGATGGCCGGCGTGAGCACTTGTTTTGGCAGTTTTTTCTGGTAATTTTGGGGGTTTTTTTACCGATTTTTATTGATAAACGAGTGTTTGTGGTGATTGACAATGATGATTTAACGGGTTGAAGTGACAGTTTAATGTAATTATCACAGAAAAATGATGGAAATCATGTTTTGTGTCAGTTACTGAATATGGTCCAAGGGGCCACACGTGTTTTTGTTGTTATTTTCTGTTATGTCCAGTGTTTTTGAGAACATTTATTGATGAATTAGTAGTTGTATCAATTGTTAATGATGATTCAACGGTTTCCAGTGATTGTTGGACATTAAAATCCGTGAAATGTGAGGGAAATCATTTTTTGTGTCAGTTATACTGAGGATGGCCAGAGTGGATACAGGTTTTGGCGGTTTTTTCTGGAAACTTTGGGGTTTTTTTTACCGAGTTTTATTGATAAACGAGTGTTTGCCGTGACTGACGATGATTTGATGGATTGAAGTGACAATTTGATACAAATATCAGCGGAAAATGGTGAATATCATGGTTTCTACCAGTTACTGAATATGGTTCAAGTGGGCACACGTGTTTTTGTTCTTATTTTCAGTTATTCCCAGTGTTTTTGAGAATTGTTCACCCATAAACAAATTTTATAAAAAACCTAGCGAATTCCCTAGACTATTGTATTGGATTTAGATTAAACTTTCCATTAGTTTTTGGCCGATTCTATTGAAATGTTCAACATAGGAAATATTACATGAGGTATTCCATGTCAAATGAGTCAACAGCTACCCCTCGTCCTCTTGAAACTTGATGGCGATTTTTTCTACGATTAGGGGGGTTGAAAAACTATCTCTCAAATTTTTTCAGATTTTTTTGATAGCCCAGTTCGGAAATATGATTTTTTTCAAATTGTTCCGTTTTTTTGCAATAACTCGAGTTCTACTCATCCGATTTCGATTTATTAGGGGGCAAAATTTTCAATTTTTCAGCACCTACCCAGAAAACAATTTTTGCCAGTGCCAGATCAAATTTAGTAGAACATCGCCAATTTGTCGACAAATTGTCGACATACTGTTTGCTGGGTATAAGAATGTTTTTTTTTTCAATTTTTTCCAATCTTTAGATGCTGAAAATAACGAATTTTCGAAAAAAAAGTTGAAAAACGTGAATTTTGCCAATTACGTCACGGTCGGTTATTTTAATTTTTTTTTTCACTAATTCTTATAATGAAAACGAAAATTTTGAGCCGTCATACATGTTGAGTTCCATCCAGGATCTATTTTTTTTTTAATTTTTTCTTTTTAAAATTGTGAAAATTTGGTGAAAACACTTTAAAACGACTTTAATTACGTATCGAAAAAATATGCAATATATAGGTATATATTTAAATTTACTTCATACTGTTCATAATCAAAGTCAACCAATGACATTTTGGGGTATTTTGACCGAATTCGCGGAATTTTGAGAATTAAAAATCAAAAATAAAATAGATCTAAGACCAAACCCAACATGTATGACGGCTCAAAATTTTTGTTTTAATTATAAGAATTACTGAAAAAAAATTAAAATAATCAAACGTGACGTAATTAGCCAAATTCGTGTTTCAAATTTTTTTTTCGAAAATTCGTTATTTCGAGCATCTAGAGATTGGAAAAAATTTGGACAAAAAACATTCTTATAGGTGGTGAAAAATGGAAAATCTTGATCCCTAATAAATTCAAATTGGATGAGTAGAACTAGAGTTATTGTAAAAAAAACGAACAATTTGAAAAACAAATATCTCCGAACTGGGCTGTCAAAAAAATCTTAAAAAATTTGAGAGATAATTTTTCAAGCCGCCCCATTCGTATAAAAAATTGCCATCAATTTTCAAGAGGGTGAGGGTCAGCCGTTGACTCATTTGGCATAGAACACCTCATATAGAAAACGTCAATAGAATTCGTTTTTTCCACACAATTTACTGAGATATTTTTTTATTGAATTTTCTCGGCAAAAATTTTATGTTTTTTCATTTTATGTTTCTTTCCTTTTCACCAAGAAAAACAAACAAAATTAAAAAATTTAACCCGAGTAAATTCGATTGAAAATATCTCAATAGAATCGACAACTTACAATTAGTGGAAAAAATTATATAGAAAACCGAATTCTATTGACTTTTTCAATAGAAATTTTTTTATTGAACATTTCGATACAATTGGCCAAAAATTAATGGAAAGTTCAATAGAAATCCAATGGCATTGTCTAGGGAATTCACTAGGTTTTTCTATTAAATTTTTTCATACGTCTTATTGATAAATTACTGATTGTGTTAAGTGTTACTGACGATCCAACAATTGTAGCCGCCAATTGGATATAAATATTAGTGGAATATAATAGTAATTATGGTTTTGTGTCAGTGAATATGCAGTGGGCACGCGTTTTTCTCAGTTACGATTAATTCTAGTGTTTTGGAAATTTTTATTAAAACTGATTATGCACGCTACTAAGTTGATACAGCAGCTGTCTTTCATCGAGACCTGTTTTACCGGCTTCCTCTGCACTATTGGCGTCACCCGAGGGTGAGTAATTATTCCTTTCTTTCATCATTCAAACCCACCGCATGCATTGAGTTTTTGAGTAAATACTGGATTTTTAAAATTGGTTGTTGTCGAGAGATGGATAAAAAATTAAGATCACGACTTTATCAATTTTCGAGATCTTCATAGCCATCATATGGTCATGAAAGAGAATTGAATCGCTGCTGATGGATATCCAAGTACTTCGGCTATTTTTTTCCAGTCAAATGTTTTTCCACTTTTGTAGTAGAACATCGGAGCTTTCATTTGAGCTCCATTTGGCACCAAGTTTACTGACATTTTACAATGATTTTATTATTTAAACTATGCAGGTTTGAATTTTAATCTCGATATTGAGCCGTTAGAAAATATTTTAATAATCGAAAAAAAATTAAGTTTATCTTTGGAGGAAGACTGATAAATTATTTTAGAAAGTGCAGTTTTTGAAAATTATTATGAGCATTTTTTACTGCTCATTTACAACCAATCAATTGTAACAAATTTATTTATGTTCAGAATTCGTCCAGAAATCGATGTCATGTCTACGAAATAAGTTTTCTGAAAGTTTAAATAATTTTAGTTATTTATTGGTAAACAACGAATGTTCAAACAAATAACAATTCTGTGCAAAATTTAATTCGAATGACTCTCAATATTTATGATTTTTTCAAATTGTTCTCACGCAATTTAATTGATAAATTTAATCATTGAAAATGACTGAATCTATCATCGTTTTTACTAAGTACCACACTGTAAAATATACTTGGATATCTCTGTGTGTAAAAGATTCGCGGATATTATGATTGAATCACTATTTTTCTTTGTTTGTTGCCCATTTCTTGTTTGTAATTTCGAAAGGAAGAATTTGTTGTGATCTCTTTCTAATGAATTTGAAAATTCCTCTGTATTGTTATGTCCAGTTGGAAAACTCCAATTAAGGAAATACTCAACAAGATAAAAGATAGAGAATCTTTTCGTCTCCACAATTGCTTGCTTATTTCTCCTTGGAATTACTGTTTTGCGGGTGCATTTTCTCCTCCTTATACCTATTTTTTTGATCAATTGTTTCTGTGTTCCTTTATGTTTACTCATTGTTAGCTAATTATATTCCGTTCTCGGGATTTTATATTTCTTTACTCAATACTCCGCAGTTTTTCGTATTCATTCGTCTTCTTTTCTGCACATTCAGCTACTTTTTTCTTCCTATTCAACATCTCTTCTTTGTACTGTACACAGTGGGCTCCTTGAGATTTAATTATCAAGGATGGGGATTCTGTTTGTACAGTTGGATAATGTGAAACTTTTGGATGTACCAACGAAACTCAAATAGGGTTTTCATCTCATGGACTCTATTTCCCATGAATTCTCGGGATTTTATTTTTGTTTCTGTGCTGAAACTAGTAGATACCCATCAGTTATAAAAAATTTTAGCTTCTGGATTAATCGCGAAATTCCTCAAGATTTCTAAAACATTTCAGAGTATTCTGGAACATTCTGGGGTCAAAATATTTTAAGAATTCGGTAGGAATTGATTGGGATTTTTTTAACGATGTTTCCACAGGAGAAAATTAAAAATTTCTGTTGAAATTACTTGTTATCAAATATTTGCATAATAAAAATCTGGGGGTGGCTGTGTCTTTGATACAGCCGTAATTTTACGTGGATACGTCTATGGTCTTCCGTTTCCTTCACTGAACATCATAGTTTTTCATTGTATATATTTATATAGGTACATTAGAAGAATTCGGGATTTCGCACCGTCTGATCATGATCATACGTTTT